GAAGTTAAGAAATGAACCTATCGTGGAGGTCTCACAAGTGATGTAACGACAAAATAAGTTTTCGTCACAGCGTTACTTTCTTTGTTCAAACAATTCTCAGATAATAACTTCAGCTATGGTTGAAAGGGCAATTAGCTCGAAAACAAGGAAAATTGGTGGAGACGGGGTCAGGGCTTACAGTTACAAGGTTCTGTTAGTTTTCATTGTTTGTATTTCTACAGTAATTAGTGCGACATAGCAATTAGTGAGGAATGTTCATAAACTATAACGAAGGCCAAATGGTTTACACATTCAGCCGTATCTATTTTGAAAAATCATATATTTTCTCTACTTTTTTTGTTCCACTTTGGAGTCTCAGTACAATGCGGTGTTTTCTGCACTTACGTGCAAGTAAACTTAATGACAGTTTGCAGCACCGCATATCAGGAAATTGGAATCTTCTCAATTTACTGCAATAGAAAGCTTTGAATGGAATTTTAAATAGATATTGCATAATTCGGTAACGTGGTACTTCATATCTTACACGCACACAGTATTTGTTTTAACTGTGAGTTCGTAAGACAGTGAGATACGATAGATGAGATGAAAACATGAAAAAGTAGCCATCCCTTTCCTTTCGTCTCATTAAGAAATCAAAGATAGGTCTATGTTCGTTACACTCGGATAAATTCGCCATTCAATTTCAATGATATTATGATTAGCTGTTTACACGCGAGTAGGTTTTTAACTCATTAAAAAAAGATTAAAATACCATTCCCTGCAAAGTCCTATAGAAATCAATAACTTCTTTACAAAATTTTTACATATGCCTTCTTCTTGATTATTATGACAAGTCGTTTAATTTTTCGACTATCTCAAGCGCAAAGTTCAGGAAGAAACCTAAACTTCACTGTGAGAAAAGTTCATGTAGACACTTCCTAAGAAGGTGTATATGACATGTACCAATACTAGTACAAATCGTATTTGCCCTTCAGACTATTCGAATTCATTGTTTAAAAAGGCCACTGAACAACTTTTCGATGTTTCATAATATGAGATTGGCCAAATTTTG